GGGTAATTGTTAGGTCCTCAGTTAAGCAGGTTTACGTGAGGAGAGGCAAACAAGGCAAAAAAGGAGACTTCGGGGTCCAAATTTAATTAGGGAAAGTGGCTATAAAATGCTGAAGTGGACTAGCATGTGTGATCAAGGGGTTTTAGTATAGGAAAAGAGTTTGATTAGGGTTTTGGGGATCATATGGTTATTGACTATTTCTCTGGTGTTGTTGTTGGTATAGGAGTTCTACGTAGTTTCTCGAATACTCCCTATCCCTTTAATTATTGTGTTGTCAGTAGTGTAATTAGAGACTGGTTTGATGATTGAATAGTACCCCCTTGATTCTATCCAATTTTTTTGTTGTTCTTTTGGTTGTTTGTGTGTGGAAATTTGGCTGTTGGTTGTGATTTCAGGTGTCTAACATTTTCCTGTGACCTTATTTGATTGATTTCTTTCTTGAACGAAATTTTAGGTGATACTACGATAAAAGTGACTCATAAGGTTTAACAAGCATTCTTAGGTGGTAGAATGGGTTGGACTATTGAAACTAGTGGATTCATCTTTCACGTAAGCATGGTGACTAGGAGTCTAGGACTTGTATTCCCAAGTGGAGTCACATATCTACCATTGCATGGGGAAAGCACCTCGTTAGGCTCTAAGCAATGTCCTATGGGTGTATGATCAAATGATTTTTGTTAATTGTCAGGGAATATATTGCATGGCCAAAGTTCTGGTACGGTGAAGGCGGTTTTTCGACTTTTCCTTATGCATTGCCATAAGTTGATCCAAAACCCCCATGAGGAAGAATTTCTTGTTTACATTTTTGTTTAAGAAGGTGTCAAGGATGTCATAAACAACAACAACAACAACAAGCCTTAATCCCAACTAATTGGGGTCCGCTATATGAATTTCACTTTTCCACACAACTCTATTTGAAATTAAACTTTCCTGAAGGCTTAGATTTAGAATGTATTTCTTAACAACTTCGGTCCACGTAATTCTTAGTCTACCCCTCCCTCTCCTAGTATTAGGTATAAAAATGTCCTCCCAAGTACGAATTGGTGCTTCTAGCGGTCTACGTTAGACATGCCCGTACCACCTCAAGCGGCCTTCGCGCACCTTATCTTCTATTGGTGCTACACCTACTTTACTACGAATAACTTCATTGCTTATGCGATCCATTCTCGTATGGCCTAGATCTATTGGTGCTACACCTACTTCACTTTTTCACACAACTCTGTTCGAAATTAAACTTTCCTGAAGGCCTAGATTTAGAATGTCTTTCTTAACGATTTCGGTCCACGTAATTCGTAGTCTACCCCTCCCTCTCCTAGTATTAGGTATAAAAATGTCCTCCCAAGTACGAACCGGTGCTTCTAGCGGTCTACGTTGGACATGCCCGTACCACCTCAAGCGGCATTCGCGCACCTTATCTTCTATTGGTGCTATACATACTTTACTATGAATAACTTCATTCCTTAGGCGATCCATTCTCGTATGGCCACTTATCCATCTTAACATACGCATTTCTGTCACTCATCTTAGATATATGTTGTCTCTTAATGGCCCAACATTCACTACCATATAACATAGCTGGGCGGACTACAGTCTTATAAAACTTTCCTTTCAACTTAATAGGCATCTTGATATCACATAAAATTCTCGTAGCATTCTTCCACTTAACCCACCGTGCCTTAATCCTATGTTGAATACCATATTTTATATCTCCTTCATACTGCACTATAGACCCAAGGTACCTAAACTTCCTAAAAGCCCCAATCTCAACACCATCTAAAGAAATTCCATCACCCTAATTACTTGAGTTACTAAACCTACAATGCATGTATTCAGTTTTCGTCATGCTTAACTTAAATCCCTTTGTCTCGAGAGTTTGTCTCCACAGTTCTAACTTACGGTTAACTCATTCCCTATATTCATCAACTAAAACTATATCGTCCGCAAAAAGCATACATTAAGGAACTCTATCTTGGATTTCTCTTGTCAGCTCGTCCATCACGATGGTGAAAAGATAAGGACTAAGAGCAGATCCTTGATGAAGGCCGATCCGAATGGGGAACTCTGCCGTGTAGCCTCTAGCAGTTCTTACACTCGTGACCACCCCATCGTACATGTTCTTAATTACCTTAATATACCTCACATGCACTCCTCTCTTTTCTAGCACCCACCATAAAACTTCTCTCGGCACCCTATCATATGCCTTTTCTAAATCTATAAAGATCATATGTAGGTCCGTCTTAGCTTCTCTGTACTTTCCATTAGCATCCTAAGAAGAAAAATAGCTTCCGTGGTTGATCTGTCTGGCATGAAGCCAAATTGATTACCTGAGATGGTAGTTGTGGCCCTTAATCTCCTTTCGATAACTCTCTCCCAAAGTTTCATAGTGTGACCTATTAACTTTATGCCCCTATAATTGTTACAATTTATCACATCTCCTTTATTCTTGAAGATGGGGACAATAATACTTTTTCTCCATGCATCAGGCATATGCTTCTTCTTTAGTATCTCATTAAAAAGCTTAGTGAGCCACACAATTTCAGCATCTCCTAACACCATTCAAACCTCTATTGGAATATCATCTGGCCCACATGTCTTCCCCTTTTTCATCTTCCGTAGTGCAGTTTTAATTTCTGAGACTCTAATTCCTCTTGTATACATCACATTAGGTTCTCCTTGTGATCTAAGATTGTCAAACTCTATCGCATGATCATCATTATAAAGCTTCTCAAAGTAACTCCTCCACCTTTCCCTAATGTCTTTATCTTTTGTCAGAACCTGATATGTATCATCCTTAGCTAGTTTATATATATCATTCTCTCATTCTCTAGTCCCAAGTTTCCTATATACCTTATCTAAGTAAGTAGAACGAGCCTTATCAACTGCTCGCTTAGCTTCTTTCTTCGCTTCTTTGTACTTGTTAAAAGTTTCTTTATCCTTACGCTTTGATAAATCTCTATATAAATCCCTCTTGGTCCTAATAGCCTTTTGAACTTCTTCACTCTACCACCAGGTTTCTTTCCCAGGGGGGCCTTTACCTCTAGATTCTCCTAGTACCTCCTTTTCCACTTTTCTAATGCAGCTGGCCATGGCATCCCACATAGTATTTGCATCATTTATATATGACGAAGTAGCCTCCTCTAACAACTTCTCTTTAAAGGCCAATTGCTTTATTCCCTTCAAATGCCACCAACGAGTTCGTGGGAGGTGGTTTATCTTAGTCCTTCTATAGCAAAGCTTAATGCTCACATCTAGGATCACTAACCTATGTTAGTTGGCTAGTCCTTCTCCAGGAATTACTTTACAATTCTTACATAGAGAACGTTCTCTATACCTTGTGAGAAAATAATCTATCTGACTCAAGTTCCTCCCATTCTTAAAAGTTATCAAGTGAGAATCTCTTTTCTTGAAAAATGTGTTTGTTATGATAAAATCATGTCCCAACGCAAATTTCAAAATAGATTTCCCTTCTTTGTTTCGAGCTCCAAAACCAAAACCACCGTGGATCCTTTCGAAGTTTTCCCAATCCTTACCAACATGCCCATTGAAATCTCCTCCAATGAAAATGCTATCCTCATTGCCTATCCGACACGCTAAGTCATCCATGTCTTCCCAGAACTTGACTTTAGTTTCCGCATCCAATCCTATTTGTGGAGCATAAGCACTAATTACATAGATGAACTTATTTCCTAGTACCAATTTGAGCATAATAATTATATCCCCTATTCACTTAATTACAACTACGCCATCCTTCATAGTTTTGTCCACTAGAATACCAACTCCATTGCGATTCCTTTCCCAACCTGTATACCATAACTTGTGTCCTAAATTTCCAATCTCATTTGCTTTCTCTCCTATTCACTTCGTTTCCTGTAAGCATAAAATGTTAATTCTTCTTCTTAACATAACATCTACTAACTCCATAGATCTACCAGTTAAAGAACCTACATTCCAACTACCTAAACGAATTTTCCTATTATGGGCTAGCTCTGCCCCTTGCACACGTCCATGAATGTGCAAGGACCCCCATTGCGTATTTTTCACCATATCCGGGGCCCGACATGGCGCATGGGCTCGCTTTTCCCCCTGCACACGTCCATGAATATGTGAAGACCCCCCTTGCCCGGGGCCCGGCATGGCGCGTCGCACGTAGGGAACGCCCCAACAGATTCTATGTGAGTGAAATCCATGAGAGTGACTTATTTTTACGCTGGTCGTCAACCTACCGCAACCCTCCTCCTTTATCCGGGCTTGGGACCGGCTATACAAACGCATAGGCGGAGTTGTGTCAAGGATGTCATAGGGAATTAATTTGTTTTTGCTAGTTTTAGTTTTCTTTCTGCTTTCTTCTAGTTTCGAAACCTCACCAATTGCACTTATATTCAAGTTGCCTCAGCATAAGGTCCAATGTTCAACGTTGACTTTGTGAGTCAACTTTTGTATTTGTGAAACTTCATGTTTGTGATGTATGCATGTAGATAGCATTAAGGCAATTAAGATTTCCTCGTTCATTGGTTTTATGTTGTTGGAATTTGAGGTGTGGATTGATCCAAGTTTCGAATATTTTCTAATAAGAAGGGGAAAGAGATGCTCTATAAAGCTTAACATAGATTTATTTTTTAATGATTCAGATGTCATACAAATGCCTTCTCCGCAACACAAGTCATAATTCCTAGTAAACTAAATGTGGTGATAAATAATTCAAACGGTTACATCGTTGAAATATGTACACTTTTTCGTACATTTTGTTAAATTGCAGAAACAGTTTCTAGTTACCTTTTCCAATATTAGCGGATTAAACTGGCTATATTGTTATTGTTGCAGGGGCTTCACTGATGCTAGCAGCACTAGCAGTGGAGGCTGGTTTGCCTGATGGTGTCTTAAATATCGTTCATGGTGGCCATGTAAAGTCCTTTATTTATTTATTTATTTTTGTTTCCTGTAATCTATTTGTTCATTATTGTATGTGAACCTATGATTGGTGTTTGGAATTTGGCATTAGTCCTATATACTTTGCAACAATAGCTATGTTTTTCTTGTGTGTGAGTTTGAATGCCAATACCCTGGGTCACATTGTGGTTTCGTAGTGACAGATATGAACAACTACATTACATCTGAAAAACAAGAGGTATGTTGCAATGTAAGGGATTTTGTTGCAAGCAACAAGTTGTTGCTTTTTTGCTTCTTGAATTTTTTGGGAACCAATTTTTAATATTTATTTTATTGAAATTGTAACTGGGAATCGTGTCAAGAATGCTGTCATCTTTTTCCTGGCATGTAGCTATTTATCCCATTGGAAAAATAAACTCGGACTCCTAATGGTGAAAGTTGAGCTCTGGATAATGCTTCATCTTATATTTGTTTGTTGTGTGCTACTCCTACTATCTTCTAAATGATGTTGGAAGTGAATCCAACCAATTTATTTATATCACAATGCAGTAGAAAATCTAATTCTGACGACTAAACAATTTTTCTATGGTTACATCTAGTTTGAGAACAGAAACATATCTTTTTCTCTTATCTCATGCTATGATGGGGTAAAAGACAGAATCCTAAATACCCAACCGTTGCAACCATTTTCTTTTTGAATTGTAGTTAAAGTATTTTCTTTTGTAGAATTCTGTATGATTCTATCCGATACTTCATTTCTCTATTTTCTTTTCCTCGTAAAATATTGTGAGCCAGATATTGTCAGTGCGGCTTCATGAAAGTAAATATGTAACACTTTGTTTTTCTAATTTCTTTTTCCTTTCGTGGAAACTGATGTTAACAGGATATCGTTAACTATATCTGTGATGATGATGACATAAAAGCTATATCCTTTGTTGGTTCAAATGCTGTAAGTTACTGCTTATTTTTGATGCTCCAGGTTATTAATTATTTTGTTAATCCTCTATATCCGATACTAAGTTCAGATCAATCATTATAGCAACAAACTCACTTTATGATTTTGTTGCGGACTTACTATGTTCAATAGTAAGAAGACATTAATTGTCAAGAGAATAAGGTATTTTCTTTCAAATAGGAGAAGCTCTTTTATTGATAGAGAATCAATTGCAGGGGGCAAGAGGATAAGGTATTCTCATAAGCGAAAATTACCGAACAAAAAAAAATGAGTACAAACAAAAACAAATAGATAGAGAAAATTATTGCCCTATTACATCTTTTCAATTTAAAATGATTAAGAGAAAGGAAACTCCTTAAGAGCTTTATCCGTTGAGGCCCAAAGAGAAGCTGTGAATTATGCTTTCTCGAAAATGTCAGTTGACTCCATCTCCTTTTCTTCAAAAATTTTAGAGTTTCTTCCCATCCACAGGGTCCACATTATTCGGGCACCAAACAATTCCATAAAACTTAGCATTTTTGTTGGTACAGAAACCCACTACGTCCTCCACCATTATCGAACTGCAATATCTAGGGAAAGCCCAGCTGAAACCCCCCTCTAAAATCAAGTTCTGACAAACTAATGTGGCCACCTTACAGTGTAACAGTAGATAATCAATGGTTTCTTCATTTTCCCTGCAAAGGATACATCGAGAAGGGGACAGAGCCATATGGGGATTTCGCTTTGCACCTTGTCACAGGTGTTTAGTTTCCCATGATATACCAACCAAGCAAGAACTTTTATTCTGTGGGGCACACGGGATTTCCAGGTGAATTTGTATTAGTTGATTGAGCGTTTTCAAAGCTAAAAATATTAAAATAACAAAATTAGATGGGAGTGTGGGCTGACTGAGCGTGTTTCTGAACTTTGGCCGGATTTTGGCGCTTCTTGTGTGTTGCATGGTCTGGACTTTTTGTAAGCGTCATGTATTTAATTGCTTGAGCCATATTGTTTTCTTTTCAGGCTGGAATGCACATATATGCTAGAGCATCTTCTAGGGGTAAACGTGTTCAGGTGATTTCCCTTGCTCCTTCATGTAATCCCATCTCCTCTCTCTCTCTCTCTCTCTAAAATCTGTTATTCTGAACCGAAGGTTGAAAATACTAATGATCGTGTTGACGCAGTCCAATATAGGAGGGAAAAATCATGCCATCATCATGCCTGATGCTAGTGTTGATGCTACTTTGAACGCTCTAGTTGCTGCAGATTTTGGTGCTGCGGGCATGGCACTCAATACTGCTATTTTTGTTGGGGGTTCAATGCCATGGTATTATGTGTTTGCATCAACCTTTTCTTTCTAACTTGTCAGCTTCTTTCTTTTCATTTCTTTCTTTCTTTCTTTCTTTCTTTCTTTTTTTCCTTTTTTTTTTTAAATATTTGCGTGTGCATGCAAATTTTGTCCTTCTCCCCCTACTCCAAACTTTGGCTTTCCTGTGTTCGTTTTGAACCCTTTTTGAGCTGATCTCGACTCTCTGCCTATTGTTGTACTTATCTTCAGACATTGTGACATAGGGAGAAAGGCAATCTGTAAAATTTTGCTAAAGAAGATCTTTGTAACTGCTATGGGCGTGCAATGACTGTAAATATGGGATGTTGTTCTATGTTGTATGTACTATGTACCACTGGAAGTATTATTTGAGTTCTTGTAATCTGTCAAATCAGAATCTTGTTCAGATCGGTGCCCAATATTCTTTCCATAGCGTAAATTTGCATTCGTGGTCAGTTTCAGTTTTTAATTATTTTGTGTGGATTGTCTTACATGACTACAACATTATGCACAAGGTTTATCTAACTCATGTGCTCTTTTCAATTCTTTCTTTCTGACTTGCGGTTGTTTTTCATCATTCATTCTTCAAAACTCCTGCTTTGCATTATGTCTAATATTGGAATTCCTTGCATTGCATATATAGCCTTACATGTTGATTTTTGAGTTTTTTATAGACTTAATGTTACCATTAAATCTTTTGTTATTTTTGTAATCCGAAATTAGTTTATAATAATATGTATTAATGTTGGTCGTTTATTCATATATTGTTAGGGAGGGACAACTTGTGGAGCATGTGAAAGCCCTAAAAGTAAATGTGGGAACTGATCCTAATGCTGACATTGGTCCAGTAATTACTAAAGAGGTGTGTAAGCTCCTCCCCAAACTTTGCCAGTTAATCTGCTCTATCAATAAGGAATCTAACTGAAGTCTGAGTTTCTGTTTATGTAAATTGAAAATTTCAGGGTATTAATCTTGACATCTTGCTTAAATGAAAAAGATAATAAAGTTTAGAAGCTTTTTACTTTCTTGGAATATGCAGGCAAAAGATCGAATTGGCAGATTAGTCCACAACAGTCTTGAGAGTGGTGCTAGACTTCTACTTGATGGGAGAAAAGTTCTGGTAATTATAGTTTCTCATTTCGTTAATGGTCACAGAAAATTTGAATTACAGTGGTTAAACTCGGCGTCAGATATATACCTTATCCTCTGCCCTCTTGGAAAATTACTTAAATATATGGCAAAACCTTTGAAAGAGGTTTGTCACGAAATTTCTTAGTCACCTTTTAATGGCAATCTCCACCGATCTCTCATACAAACCCTTGGAAAGATGGAGTTTTTGTTTAAAAGTACGGAACACCAAAGCAAAGTAGCAAACATACTTCTGTTTTTGGTTTTAGTCTTGGACATTAGAGCTTTTGACTTAACTAATAATGGCTAACAAGTCATGTTGTAAAGCGCCTGAACTTACATCATAAATGTGAGGAACATGGAACCGTTGGTTTTCCCTATGTGGCTTTGTTATACACTGATCAGAGTTTTTGATAAATGAGTCTGATCATAGTTTCCTTCTTGAGTGGCCCTGAGTGGCGCTGCAATTGCTCTTATGAGAAAAGCTTCATGATTGACGAGCACACTAGATTGTTTTTCTTTTTTGCCTTTATTTTACAATAAAGCACACTAGAGTGTTTTTTGTAATTTGAATTGTTGCTTTTTTTGTTTTCTATCTATTTGGAGGATACTTATCCTCTTTCCCCTTAATTGATTTTAAATCAATAAAGGAGTTTTTCTTGTCAAAAAAAAAAAAAAAAAAAAACAGCATAAGTCTTGTGTTTCCTATCAATATGTGGCCGAGTATGGAATAATTGTGGGGGAAAGTTATTAGTTGACTCTAAATGATTTCCTTAAAGTTTTGGGATAGGTGATTAGGCAGTTTCCCTCTTTTTTGATTTGTTTCCTTATTTATCTTGTTTCCTTTTATTTGATGTTCCCTGGCTTATCTATATAAGGAGGCCAGTGTACATGTCTAGGAATATGAATGAGAGAACTATAATTTTCATTCTTCTAGCAGTGTTTATCCTCTAGTGCTATCTCCTCAGGTTCTTGCTATATGGTATCAGAACGGGAGGTCCTGAGTTCAAACTCCCGTAATTGCACTCTTTATCCCCATTTAAATTGTCATCATGTGTTGGGTCTTTAATATATCTCGGGCTTAAATATTCACGTGTTAGGCTTTTCAAGTAATTTATCCACACGATTGCCTATTGTCTAGCCCACACGTGAGGGAGAGTGTTAAAGTATAAAACTATTGTTGGCCCACCTCCTAATAGGTTAAGTTTTTAGGATGGATTGGTAAACTAGTAACAAATTAGCAATTAAATTGCTTTAGGTTTGGGCTCCTATAAGTAGGACACCTTATGTTAAGTTTTTTTTAGAAGAGTTTGATTAATAAAATTATCATTAGAGTTTTACCCAATTTTTTTTTCGCTGATCTGTGTATATGTTTTATGTTTCCTCTGGATGGATTTCTCATCCGTTTAAAAACTTCATTTGTAAAGTTCTTGTTTTATTAATGAAGTTTCTTGGTTTCTTATAAAAAAATTTTGGAGTGCGATTCCTGGTATTCATCAGAATCAACGAGTTTTGTTTCTATCTCTATTGTCTAGGCATTCGTGAGTGAATCAACAGGTTAGTAGATGCCTTATTTTCTGGTATTTTAGTCGAATCAGTAGATTTTAGGAAGGTTGTATCCTTTTCTATGTGGATCTTTCTCGTATGCTTGCCATCTGGAATCATCGTGAATGTGAGGCTTACTCTCTTGTCATATTGCTATAGCTACAATGACTTTCTCTGCTGGCCTTTGTCATACTATTTGTCCTTTAACCATTGATAGTATGTCTATTTTACTGTCTTTTGCTATGAACTTTTTATTTTTCAGTGCTTTCATTGTTCTTTTGACGTGCATTATTGCAAAGGTTTTGATGGAGATTATGATATTAATTAGTTTAATATATTTAGTTTTATTTAATTAGACATTATGCAATTAGTTTCCCATTACCGAGTTTCTTTAATTTGTTTTGATTTAGCTTCCTAACTTTTTTATTTTTTTTTGCTTATAAGTATGGTAGTTTCACTTTCAATTGAGGAGACGGTTAATGATTATTGGTTTTCTTGCTCTCGATAGGCGTGTGCGCATGTGCGCGTACACACAGACATATATATTCGAATAGATTTCATTTCTATCTTGGTTCTATTCTCTCTTCTCTATATTCTCTCTTTGGTCTTGGTCCTAGATCAGTTGGTATCAGAGCTCGAGTCGAGTGAGTGTCTAACTTGCTCAACTTATTGACCTTGTGACCAAGATATTTGATAACTTCCATGAATTATGAAGGGGATTGTTCCACTGCATTGTCCTCCTCCAAATAATGTTTCATCCCATGCCTTTAATGTTTCTCAAATATGTTTGCTTCCTAACCCGCCTAGACCTTGTGAATCTACCATATTGTTCATTATCAAGAGATATCTCATAGAAACCTTTTTGATTTTGTATGGACTTTCTTCCTAATAGAGTCGATCCAAATCTTTGAGAGTTGTTTAATTACCATGGTGATCTGAAATTGAATATTTTGTTATCTCTACGGCAAGAATTTTCTACGATCAATATCTAGCTTCTACGGCTTCTTTCTATCAAATTGAAGATGTTTAGTGTTTCCAATTGTTGCTTTATGATTCTTCGAGTTTTCCCTTGCCAGAATGGGGTACTTTTTGTCAGGGGAAAATGGAGAGTACGATATGAATTAGTTTTAGTATTTAGTTTTTTTCCTTTTCACAGCTTTACTTTTAGAGGAAAGCTCTTCCTTTACATGTAATTATTTTTTGATAATCAATATATAGTTTCTTGTTTCGAAAAATTAGTTTTAATATGTAGTTTTTATTTAATAAGAGATTTATGTTATTAGGTTCATTTCTAATTACGTAGTTTCTTTATTTCATTTTCGGTTAGTTTTCTAACTTGTTATTTGGTCTGCTTATAAATATGACAATTTGTAATTTTAATATAGAGAATGGTCAATGAATGAATATTATTGAGATTATTGGTTTTCCTCCTATTAAGTTCTTGTTCTCTTTAGAATCCTTTGTTTTCTTTCCTTGGTTCTATTTCTCTCTTTAGTGGTTCTGTTTCACTGTCTTCATTCTCTTCTCTCTCTATATTCTATCTCTTTTATCTTGGTTCTACATAAGATTTTCCTCGATTTGGAGTTTGCTTTATTCTGATACTTTTTTACTGTTTATTCGTAGGTTCCGGGATACGAGAACGGGAATTTTGTTGGTCCTACAATCTTGTGTGATGTGACAACCAACATGGATTGCTATAAGGTACTTTATCTCACTCCCTTACCTTTAATTTTCTTGATGAATGGACTTGGTTAATTATGATTCTCAGTGGAGAAGAATTGAACCAAAGATATTGGAAGAGTGTTGACAACATTGAATCTTGTGTTTAGCAGGAAGAGATTTTGGGACCTATTCTTTTGTGTATCCAGGTAATTGCTATTCTCTCTCTCTCTCTCTCTCTCTTATGTGTCAGTGATAGGAATTGCCGAATGGGTTCAACAAAACTCAGCAACAGAGAAAATAGAGAAGAATAGTGTTCGATCAAGAAGAAATCTGAACTGTATTGATAGGGAAAAAGAAGGAATATACAGGATAGGGGGTTTTTGCGAGACCCCTGCTCTTCCTAGAGCTCAAAGCTCGTCTACATTCAGATTCACTAAGAGAAAAGATCGATACCCTCCCTACTACTCTCTTCTCATTTTATTCACTTTCTTCTAACAACTTTCTAACAGAATTCTCTTTCGATTCTAGAACCTCCTAACTCACGCTGACCTCATGACCTTCCTACTGCACTAATCATGCCTCACTCATAACGGCCTTAGCCAACTCATCATTCCCCTTGCCCCTTGTCAGCTTAGTTTGCTTCTCCTCCTCACTTTCTGCCAACTCAGCTTGCTCTGCATTCTCACTGCCTTCGGTCAACTCCAACACTGGGTTAAAATTAGCCACTCTTGTTGCTTCTCCTTTTACGAGCATAAAGTCTTATAGGAGCCCTATCACTTCCCCCCACCCAAAGTTTCACCTTGTCCTCAAGGTGGAAGTGAGGGAATTGGGTGTTGATAACATCGTATAGGTCCCAAGTGTCATCATGTGGTGACAAGTGCGCCCAGTGGATAAAAACTTCTAATTCGGTGGTCGATCTTTGGACGCACCCCCAAGAGCTCTGCGGGTTCAGCTAACTCCAGGTCAATATTGAGTTGTGGGGGCAGAGAAGAGGTAGTGTGGCCTTGTCCAACTACTCGGCGAAGCTGGGACACATGGAAGACCAGGTGGATCATTGTCGAGGCTGGCAAACGCAAACTGCCCCAATCCGTGCCTCTACCTCATAAGGGCCATAGAATCTTGGTGCTAATTGCTCATTGCGGTGTTGCGCAAGGGACTTCCTTCGATATGGTTGCAATTTGAGGTACACTAGACCCCCCACAGAGAACCGCTCGTCCTTGCGTTTTTTATCAGCAGCCGACTTCATCTTTTGTTGTGCTCGCAGCAAATTTTGCTTAAGCAAGTCCAGCATAGCAACCCGCTCTTCGAGTTGGTGGTCCATCGAAGCTACCAAAGACGACCCGAGCCATATTGGGCCAACAAAGAGAGATCACACCCATAGAGGATACGAAAGGGAGTCATGTGAGTGGCAGTGTGGTATGAAGTGTTGTGCCAGTACTCGGACTATGGCAGCCGCTTTGTCCACCGCGTCAGTTCGTCCGAAAGAAAGAACCTCAAATATGTCTCAATGCACCGGTTCAAAACCTGTCTGTAATCAGATTTGAGGGTGGTAGGCTGTGCTTTGTTTCAGTGTAGTGCCCTGGAGTCGGAAAAGCTCATTCCAAAAGAGACTCAGGAAGATCTGGATCCGAGACGATAGAACAGAGAATTCCATGCAGGCGCATATCTCACACACAAGCTGTCACAACCTTCGATTTATCAGCCGCCACCCCATCACCAGATATGATGTGGCCCAAATATTCTAGTGATCATTGCCCTAAACAACATTCCTTTGCGTTGGCAAAGAGCCGGTGTTTGTTCAGCTCTGAGAGCACTAGCCCAAATGCTCAACATGTTCCTCCATGGTGCGGCTATAGATGAGGATACTAGCACGAATTTGCAGAGATAGGCATGGTATACTCCGTTCATTAAGGCTTGAAAAGTAGTTGGCGCATTCCTTAAGCCTAAGGGCATTACCAAGAAACTCGTAATGCCTTTCATGTGTACGAAAGGTCGTCTTCGGCACGACCTTGCCTATTACTCGAATCTGGTGGTAACCGGATTTTAAATCTATCTTCGAGAAGATGGTTGCATAATGCAATTTATCTGTCACCGGGATCGGAAACATGTTCGGAACCATTTCCCTATTCAAAGCCCTATAATCCACACAATCTCCAACTGCCATCTTTTTTTTTTTTTTCACCAAAAGAACAAGGCTCGAAAATGGACTCACACAAGCTGGATAATATTTGCAGCAAGCATCTCTTGTACTAACCTTTTGATCTCAAATTTCTGCGCCTGTACCGGTAGGGGATGTGCCCTCCTTTAAAATGATGGCGTGATCTTCACTTGGGACGGGGGCAAAGTCAATGGCATGTGGAACACGGCTACCAAGTGGTGTAACACCTCTTCCAATTCCTTCGGAACCTCCCATCTCTCCTCTTCCCATGCTTGGTCCTCCACAACCAGGTTACTAAATTCCCGTAACACCCCCTGCCCTTCCTGGGCCTTCCACATGGCTTTTAGCGAAACAACCGACTTTCCCAAGCTCGGATCACCTTGCAAAACGACCTATAGTTCCCCGATTTTGAATCTCATTGTCAGCGTCTTCCAATTGATGTGGGTTGCTCCCAGTGTCTCCAACCACTTCACACCCAGGATTCCAAGCTCTAGGGGCAAGAAGTCCTTCACAACTTCAATCAACTGTAGCAAGAGGACCACTCCCCGATAAATCCCTTCCCCCTTCACAGACAAACCAGTTCCCCTAATCACCCCGTATTCCTCCATCGCATCCATCAGAATCTCCAACTATTTAACGAGATCTGCAACGATAAAGATGTGCCGCACCGTTATCGATCAATACCACAACTTCCTTCATTCCTACAGAGCCGCATAACTTCATCGATCGCGGAGCTGAGTCCCACCACTGAATTCAAGGGCAGCTTCGTAACTTCATCTCCACCCTTCTCCGAACTTGCCCCATCATTGGCCTCCCCGTCACTGCCTTTTTCGCTGACTACCAAGACATGAACCTCGCGATTAGGGCAAGGATGACCCACTATGTATTTCCCATCACAGTAGAAGCACAGCCCCTTGTCGTGTTTGGCCTGCAACTCAGCATCAAAGGAGTGTTTCCACCACCATGGGCCTTGTCGTTTGGCTGATGTCCACGTCCTAGGGTTGGTGTAACCCCCTTTCAGTAAGAGCAGCCCCTGTGGAGGGGCCTTTGGTCCATGGGCCCGAATTAGAGGATTAGGTCCTATTGGGCCGCAACTGTTGATTTCTATCCTTAACCCATCGGGCCATTTCCATGATCCTCCCAAGCCCAACGGGCTTCAGCATCCAGATCTTGGCCCGGATCTCAGATCTCAGAACATCACAAATTGGTTCTCTAGTACTTGCTTCGACACATCAGAGAGTGGCGCGGCGAAGATTTCGAACTGCTAGTGATACTCCCGGACAGTCGTCTCCTGCTGTGGGGCCATGAATTTCTCGCAAGGACTGCCATCTTGAGTCAGTCGGAACTGCTTCAAGATTTGCATCTTCAATTTGGCCCAGCTACGGAATGCCCTCCGACCATCCTACCACTGGAACCAGGCGAGTGCATCACCATCCAAACTCAGCACCGCCGCCTCGAGTTTCTCTGCCTCCCTTAAACGGTTCGTGGAGAAGTATCGTCCAGCCCAGAAAATCCACCCATCCAGATTCGTTCCCTCGAAGACTGGAATCCCGATTTGCTGAGTTGGCACTCTACGCGTTGAGCCCCTTCCTTTCCCGTACCTTCGTCCCTGTCTCCACTCCTTTCAATTGCCGACAACTGGGCTGTTGGTGAACCAGTGGCTGCTGCTGATTTGCCTTGCTCAGAATCGGTCTAGTGGCGCAGCAACTCCTCGAGCTTACCAAGAACAACCTTCAAGCACTGCTCAATCTTCGGTATCTTCTGCAACTCCCTTCTGTATCTCTCCATTTCTTTCTGCACTTCTTCACGGATTCCCTCACTCTTCTCGTCGGACTTCCTCGGTGGCGCTATCCAGGCCAGTGCTCTGATACCAATTTGATAGGAATTGGTTCAACAAAACACAACAACAGAGAAAATAGAGAAATATAGTGTTCGATCAAGAAGAAATCTGAACTGTATTGATAGGAAATAAGAAGGAAAATACAGGATAAGGGGTTTTTGAGAGACCCCTGCTCTCCCTAGAGCTAAAAGCTCGTCTAAATTCAGATTCGCTGAGAGAAAAGATTGATACCCTCCCTACTACTCTCCTCTCGTTTTATTCACTTTCTTCTAACAACTTTCTAACAGAATTCTTTCTCGATTCTAGAACCTGCTGACACACGCTGACCTCATGACCTTCCTACTGCACTAATCATGCCTCACTCATACCGGCCTTAGCCAACTCATCATTCCCCTTGCCCCTTGTCAGCCTAGCTTGCTTCTCCTTCTCACTTCTTGCCAACTCAGCTTGCTCTGCATTCTCACTGCCTTTGGCCAATTCCAACACCTGGCTAAAATTAGCCCCACTCTTGTTGCCTCTCCTTTTACGAGCATAAGTAAATCTGATAGGAGGCCTATCAGTCAGTAAGTAATTTGGTCATTTTATGGTGCAAATGGAAAGTTGATTGATTACAAAGCTTTGTTTTGTCTCATGACAAACAGGCTGACAGCTTAGAAGAGGCCATCATGATTGTTAACAGAAACAGGTATTGTTCACTTTCTTTTCCAATGTAGCCTTTGATTGTTTTCTTTGACATGTCCAATCCTTAAATTTGATCGGGACCTAGTAATTTATGATTTTCTTTCTCTCACCTCCTTTTTCTTCCCAAAAAATTAATGAAGAATTCTACAAGTATAAGACTAAAGACATGAGAAAAAAACTAACAACTGATTAGGTGTGAAGTAGGGTAAGCGGTATTTTGCACAGCTATTTGGGTTGTCATTATTTTGATTTTTTGATTTTTTTGTCAATTTCTATATACTTATTCACTTCAATGAAAGTAGTTGATTCGCTTTTAGATATATTCCTAATAATAAAATTGTGAGAAAAGATACCCGAGAAGAAAACCATAAAACACTGCTCAGAGTTTCTTATTAGAATAAAAAATGTAACATACATGAAAAGATCTAGAATTTATAGCCATATTCTGGTCAGAAACTATCCCAACAAACTAGGAAACACATCAGGAAACAAATAACTAAGGGTTCGTTCGGTTCGCTAATTCGAGTTTTTAATTCGAGTTGAGATGTGATGTTGTGTGAGTTTTTTTACTGTAGCAAAAAAGTTAGATGTGACTGTTTTTAAGAGCTTTTTACTGTAGCAAAACTCGAATTCTAAACTCGAATCAGCGAAAAGAACGGGGCCTAAAAATAATAAGGTCCTGATTTTATTCTCTAAAAAACAGGATTGACTAAATCAACCCTTAACTGCCCCCAAATCTCCCGGATATCAGAGATACCGGAGATGGGCTGATCTTCAACAAAAATTAATATTATATATCGTTTTAGAATTTTTGTGTAAAATAATCTTATGTGTTGAGCTTGATATAATAAACTAAGAAATTACAGAAAAGGAAAGAAATAATGTACACCTAATCAGCTTCCTAAAACATGTATATTTTTGTTCCACAATTAATCCATACTTCACCAAACAGCTAAATGCTGTTTTGTATTCAGAACAACTTTGAAAAAGAAATTTACCATAACTACGTACTTGTGACTAACAACACAGCTGACAACAAATATTTTAAAAGCACAAAAAGGCCAAGCCGACGCTAACTATTTTATGTGTAAAATAGTGGTAAGAATAAGTTTTATCTAGACCCTTGAGGATGGACTGCAACCTCTATAAAGTAAATATGTTTCGTTGAAGATTGTCACAATGAAAATATTAGACTTTTTCTCACGTGTTTTGTTACGATACATAACATATTCATGCCCAATTCGTTCATATTTCATTGTTATGATGTGTGGTTTTCATCTTTTGGTTTTTTCACAATCACAGGCATGGGAATGGGGCTTCTATATTCACGGCATCTGGTCTTGTTGCAAAGAAGTTTCAGATTGAAGTTGAGGCTGTTCTGGTAAGGTTTTTTTTTTTTTTTTTTTTGGGTACTTTGATGCTAATTTTCTCATATGAGATGACAGTTCGAATTTCCCCCTGTTACTTGCTCACTAGTGACTGCCAACTTAATTGGGATATGTTAGTAGTCCTCAGCGTTGACTCTACCTCTCTCTCTCCATTTGTCAAAAAGTAAAAGCCACACAAGGTTTAGCGGAGGATACCTCCCCCTCTCTTTCCTTTCCTTCAGTTTAGTGGAGGATACCTCCCCCTCCCTTCCCTTTCCTTCAGTTTAGTGGAGGATACCTCTCCCTCCCTTCCCTTTCCTTCAGTATTAATAAAGATCGTTTCTTTTTGAAAAGAAAAGTAAAAGAAACATTCACACACACACGTATACGTGTGTGTGTGTATTTATAGAGAGAGAGAGAGAGAGAGAGAGAGAGAGAGAATTCCTCATTACCTGCTCAATAAATAACCCAATTCCAGAGGTTGCAGACAGTCTAGCGGTAATATCCACCCAACTCCACCACTAGGTGTAGACTGTAGAGTTTGAATCCCCCCACACCCAAGTTTTTTTAAAAAAAAACAAAACAAAACAAAAAAAGTCACTTGATGCTGTGACTTGAGTTTACATATGTAAACAGCTGAAGTCCTAATTTTCTAAATCATGTTGGTGCTCCATTGAAGTTTTTATTTATTTATAGCTCTTTTCCTCCAATGGAATGTTTAGGGGAATATTGTGCTTTCAGCTTGTAGTTTACTATGATGTTACCTAATTCTAATTTACACATCATCTGTTCATTTGGATCTAATGTCTTAGGTTGGAATCAACGTTGCTGTTCCAGTTCCATTGCCATTTTCATCATTCAATGGATCAAAGTCAACTTTTGTTGGTAATCTTCATTTCTATAGTAGAAGTTTATTGTCCTCCAACACTTGGTCACTCAACCATTTTCTTGCACTAATATTTCTAAAGCTTGTTGCAGGCAAGTCAGGCGTTCAGTTTTACACCCAGATCAAAACGGTTGCTCAACAGTGGAAGGATTTATCAAGCCTCGCAATGCCACTACCTGCACCTCTAACATCTGAGAAAGACATGACAGGAAGAGCTCTGAGAGAGATTCACCGAGCCAAAGAATGTCGCTAGCTATGCGTCCAGCATCGGAGACTGATTCTTCAAGCCACAGTGTTCTGCTGCCCACCCCTCCACCATCTGAGGCAGAATTACCGAACCCAGGAGCCTCGTCTGTGTCATCAACAGCTGATAGGGATTTACCAAGCCAGGGTGTGTACTTGCCACCAACTTCGGAGAGGGATTTGTGTAATGGAGAAATGCCGCTAGCTCCACCTCCAGCAGTGGAGAGAGATTTGTCAAGCCAAGGAGGGTCGATAGCCTCAACTCAGATATCGGAGATTATGTATATGCCACAAGCATCTAGGTGGAATGAAACTACACAACAAACATCCCAAAGGAGTGAATCTTTTTCACCAATTTTGGAAAGAAGTCACACGCCGACATCTCAGACGAAAAACAACACAACGCTGGCTTCTCAAAGGACCGAGATCAATATGGCCCTAACTTCTGAGAGGGTATATATGTCTTCCTCTCATGACAATATGGGTTCAATGTCGCTCGGGGACGACGGTATGGCTACAACATCTCGAGTTGATTCTTCTGTTAATCCACCTTCCAAGAGGGCATATATGCTTGGAACATCCCATCTGAGTGACAGTATGAGTCGAACGTTTCAAAGGTCCAATACCATGTTCACTACATGCGAGAGGCTCTGCATGCCAACCATATCTCACCGAGGTGACCATATCGGCTCAAGTTCTCAAAGGACCGATGTTTCTCTGCATTCAGCTTCTGAGAGGATATACATATCTGCAGCCACGTCTCAAAGGAATGACAACTTAGGACCGGCTGCTTCGCAACAAGCTGATCCTATGCCTTCAACTTCCGAGCGAATGTACATGCCTCACATGGTTCAGACGAATGCCACTATGACTCCAACCTCCGAGAAATTATATAGTCGTGGCACATCTCCAAGATTATATCATCAAAACACAATTATATCAATGGAGGAATTTCCAAGCCAAGGAGCATCACTGGCTCTACCAACATCACAGAGGATATAAGACCGAAGCTACTCTCTCTGTACCTTCAGGACTTTGAAACTGGGAAGACGAACTGTTCTCAATGCCAAAAAAGTTATCTTGTTTCCTTTGAATAATCAGGCTTCAATTCTTATTCGAGGTTTAGGCAACTCCCTTGGTGTCTCTTTCACAATAATCATTAATCGGGCCCCAGAAGAATCGTGTGGTGGGAGAGAGAGAGGGGAAAAATCTTCCCTTGCTCCCATCTCTCATTTACGACAGAAGCAAGAAGAAATCCGTAGCGATAGCTTGATTTGCTATTCCTTGAAGCACTTGACCTCTCAATAAGAAAGTGGGCTTGATGGCTAAAGAAGCATTGAAGTTTGTGACATGGAAATTGAATATGTGAAACTGCTGTAGTTGAAGCACATCCAAGGGTTCAAGATTTAGTACAAATTGTGATGGATACAAATATTTGATCATCGTAGGTCTCTGTTAGGAAAGTATTGTTTTAGCTTAAGCACATATGTGGGTAGTTTGGCGCTGGTAGACACATCTTAACATAGGTGGAGACTCGTTTTACTTTTTAATATTTTTTGTCCGGCTCAAACTAGGCTCTTTCAAGTGATTACTAAAAATAGTTCAGTGATTTATTAATTCACATGTGTACGTTTATTTTTTTCTCCCATCCAATTTCCAAGTTGTGAGTCGTCCACAATTCATCAACCTTATGGATCTCAGAGGTTTTTTTTGAAAACTGATACATAAATTGCACTCAAACATCACATGTAATATAATTTTGGGTGATGGAGGGAAATAGGCCAACATTTGGAAGGAATTAAAATTAATAGGTTAAAGTTTTAGAAAAGTTAATAAATAGACCAATTTAAGATAAATCTAGATTTATAAACAATAAATTTTCAAAAATACCCTTAAATGAGAATTCCACTCAAAACCCTAATACTTGTATCTCTCTCTTCTCTCTCTCTCTCTCACCGACTTCTCTCTTCACTCTCTCACTGAAACTATCAGCCTCTCTCTCTCTTCTGACGCTTTCTCTCTCTCCCGTCCTCCACTCTCTCCCTCTTTTGCCGTGCTCTCTCTCTCTCCAAAGCATTGATCTGCACACCATCGAGCATCTCTCCTTTGTTAGATGCGAACGCCGCCGTCAAAAGAGAGAAATTAGGAGGGGTGAAACTGGAGAGAGAGAGAGAGAGAGAGAGAGAGAGAGAGAGAGAGAGAGAGGAGAGAGAGAGAGAGAGAGAGAGAGAGAGAGAGAGAGAGAGAGATAAGAAGAAAATGAGAAAATAAAAAACAAAAAATAAAAAAGAAAACTAAGGATAAAACTGGAAAATAAATAATTTAAAATTAAGAATGGCCTATAAATTTCTAATCATTAATAAATGGCCTATTTACTTCCACAGATTTTTTAAGTTAGCCTATTTACTACAATTTCTCTATAATTTTTTACATAGAAAATTAGTGAACTTATTTGAGTTTAGATTTTTAATCTTTGTTTTTGATTAATATCTTTTTAATTAATATAATTATTTAACTAAAAATGATATTAAGTAAAAATAAAATCTAAAAATTTAGACTCGTGCAGAGTATTTGTGTTGTTTCCCATTTTTACATTACCACCACTATATTATAAAAGAGTGGATGTTTTGCTTCACTGTGCATTTCGTCGTTGAAAACACACGTTTTGGCTTTTGATTATTTTTTTGGCTTTTCATGTTTTTTTTTTTTTTTTTTTCCTTTTCTTCACCAACATAATTACAAAATTTTTTCTTGTATTATATCCCTTGTAACACTTTATTTAATGATCTTTAAAACATAACATATCTTCCTCCTGACTAATAAAATATTAATAAAAATCTCTCTTTGTTAAGTTTTTAACTAAAATTGACATTTAATTTACTATTTTGAGGGTATTTTGTACTTCTATAGTTAAAATTTAATTTTAATTTTAACTAATTTAAATATTAAAAAAACGTCATAAATTTCTTTATTCTATGAAAAAAGATTCATAAATTTTTTTAACTCACATTCAATCAATAATAGATGTATCATAATTAAAATTAGTTTTAAATTTCAAATTAAATTTTAAACCATAACGCTACCAAATACCCTAAAATAACAAATTAAATGTCAATTCTCCTTAAAAAATCTAAGGTAGGGGGCTTTTTTATTAATACTTCATTATTCAAGGGGAACGAATATTACGTTTTAAAGATTGAAGAGTAAAGTGTTACAAGTGGTATAATTCAAAATGAGTTTTTGCAATTAATCCTATATTTTTTGTACTTACCTTTCTTTTTAACTTTTTTCTGACATGTACTTTAATTAATTTTTTTCTAAATGTTATCCTACTTATATATTTTACATATTCTTTCTGTAGTGCTCTAAAATATTATTGTATTAAAAGTTATTCTCACAAATTTCTTCCTAATTGACCCACTAAGATAAATTTCTAAAAATATACCCCTATTTAATTTTTTTCACGGCATTCTCGACTATTACTATCCTACATAGTGCTGAAACTTTGGACGGGTTGCCCGCGACTGCCCAAAAATATCAAGTTTTTGCCCGATGCCTGACCCGACCCGTCTGAAATTTTCAGGCCACCCGCCCGAGCCTGAGAAGGCCCGTGAATAGGCCACACGCTTGTATTTGGTTGCCCGAGCCCGCCCGAAATGCCCAAATTTTTTTTTATATTTTTATAATTATTAAGTTATTTTGTGTTAAAATTATATAAAAACTAAAATCAACATTCAACACACATTATTAACACAATTTAATAAATTAATTTTGTATATTAATTTTTAAATTCGTAATTCATGATTGTCTTGTGAAAAATCTTACCAAGAAAAATCCAATTGGGATAAAAACTTGGTAAGAAAAAAAGAGTGCAATCATTTTGTGACGAATTATAAATTTTACAAACTTACAAAGTTATACAATTACAATGTCAAAAGCAAATACATATTTACAAATTACAAATTTACAATTTAATTTGAAGCTCAAGGATCGTCTTCAAAATTAAATGTTAATCTATTAAATTCATCGATCCATTCTTGACTTGCCGGCGAAATTGTATCATGTAGACATTGATCGGCACAATCCCAATCCTTAATGCAGACCAAGACTTCAACAATGTCCCTTTGCAATACATTTCGGTGTTCCTCAAGTATTCGTCATGTCGTACTGAAGGCTTGTTCGGATGAAACAGTGGAGACTGGGATCGGAAATATATCAATTGCCAATCAAGTTAGGATTGGCCAAGTTAATGCTCGTGCCCTCCACCATTGAACTAAGTCAAACGACTCTCTAGTATTGTCGATTACTAAGCTCTCACTGAGGTACGCCATAAGCTCGTTGAAGCCGTCGCCATCGTTGCCTCTTGTTGATGAAGATCCACTCCCAGCTTCTATTTGAGTTGTCCTTTTCTTCTTCTTCAACCTGAAAACATTCAAGAATGAATGTGAGTTTTCATCTTATTGTTGTGGTTCCTATACTCTAGAGTTTGTGCTTCTAAACCTATTCTCATATTTACTATAGATCAAAAATATTTTTTCCTTTATTGTTAGAAATTGTCCGAACAATTGATGCGTAATTTTACACACATATAGTTTGTTATAGCATCTTTATAGGGGATGCATTGTTGAGGCATTATATAAGTTGAGTTCCATCTTACAGGCATATCTAATGCTAATGCTCTAGGAGGTATATTTAATGCTTGTAAGAAACTAAACCAATCTTCTTGTCTTTGGTTACTATCTTTAATCCATGCAAGACTATCTCTAATTCTTTTAATGTGAGTACCCATTTCTTTTAAACCAGATTTAACTATTAAATTAATTACGTGGCATGCACAACGTTGGTAAAAAATAGTACCGTCACCAAATAAACTTAAATCATTTTTAAAGAACTCAATTGTTTTTGTATTGACACTAGCATTATCTAATGTTATAACCATTACTTTATCTCTTAATCTAAATTCATCAATTACATTTAAAATTGTATTATATATTAAATCCGCGCTATGTAATCCTAAAACACATTTAAAACCTAATATTTTCTTATATAAATCGAATCCTTTAAAGTAATGTTCGGTTACAACTAAATAATCTTTATTGGCAACGACAGACCAAATATATGCCGTTAACCCAACGCACCCGCTAGTCGAGTGTAAAAGATTTATTAATGCTTCTTTTTCTTTTTTAAATAATTTTAATAAGTCTTTCCTAAGAGTAGTTTTTGAAGTGAACTGCGCATTAGGATTATGTACAACCTTAATATATCGTTGCCAATTATGATGCTCTACAAAAATAAGTGGTGGATCTAATACAGCTATCATTCGTGCAACTTTCATACGTTCTACTTATGGATCATATTTCCAAGTGGTTAGACCACCGGTTGCGTGATCAAAAGATAATTGTGTTTGGCGGAGTTTGGGTCCACTAGATTGGCTAAGCTTTTGCAGACACTTTTCGGAGTGTCTTCTCAAGTGCGTGGTGTCGTGAATAGTGTCACCTTATAATTTAGATAAACAATATTTACACTAAGCTATATGTTTAGTGTTACCTTCATTGTCGATCTCCTCAATTGTGTCGAAATGATCCCAAACTATTGATGTGCGCTTGCATTTCCTCCTGGAGGTTGCAACACTTGCAGACACAGTCGCATTCGCACTCGTCGCTTCTCCACGCCCACCACCATTGTGACCACGACCTCTAGTACATCCACCAGGGCTCAGATTAGTAGATTCATACGTAACAAATTCATTAGTGGGAAATTATCTTTCTTCCACGTTGTGTTGGGCATCAACGGGAATACCACTATAACCAAAAGAATCCATTATAAAAAAAAAGAGCGATTTGAGAGAGAGAGTTTTAGGATAATGTGATAGTTTTTAGAAAAATTGTGAGAGAGATTGAGAGAAATTGAGAGAGATTGAGAGAACTTGATAGGAATTGAGAGAGTTTGAGTGAGGAAAATGTGTGGGGGATTGGGGGGTAATTATAAGAAAATTTTTGGGTTAAAAAATTGATTTCCCCCCCCCCCAAATTGGATCCAGTAGCTAGTTTTGTTTCAGCAGGTCGGGTTCAAGCTGGTTCGGACAGAAAATCGGGCAACAGTTAAAAAACTAGCCATTGGGGTCGGGCTTTTCGGGCTTCGGGTTGGGTTAGGTTCCAACGGTCGAAAATTTATCCGTTGGTCGGGTTTCAGGCTTCGGGCAAATCGGGCCTAACCGGAAAAATTCAAAAAAATTCCAACGGATGGCGGTTGATGGCAATAACACGGAGGCGGGCTCCGGTGACTTATCCATTTTCGGGCGGCACGAGCCCGAGCCCGAAAAATTAAATTGAACGGACCGGCATTTGGGCCTGGCCGCCGAGACCGAAAAATTAAGGCCTTAGGCCGTCGGCCTAAAGTTCCAACACTAATCCTACATTTATAAAATAGTATGACTCTACTATTCCTTTTTTAGTTGTCTAACACGAGTTGTTTTGGCTCTTTTTTTCTTTGAGAAATGGTTTTGGCTCTTTGCTTCTTTCAACATTTTTTTTGCTTTTTCTCTTTTCAAACACTGGAAATAAGAAAAAAGGATGCGTTAGTAAATAACATAGATTATAGACCATCATATGTTAAATAACGTAGATTATGGACCATCAT